CACGGTAGAGCGAAACGCGTGAGTTCCTCGCATCCGATATTGCTTCGTATGCTTACCCCTCGTAATTACAGTAACGAGCTCCCCACTTATTAGGTACATCAATCCATTGGTTCTTTCCACATTTACAGTAGAGCGGAGCGCTAACGAGCTCTCGCACTTATTAGAACCCGTCGAACCTCCGTCCTCCGTGTTGCGTGCCGACACTTACCTTCGCTAGGCATCACAGGGTCATGTAGAGAACTATACCGTACTCATGTATTGCACACGTCTTGTTGTTTCGTGCGGTTTAAAGGATCCGGTTTCTTACCGTGGGCCTTTCCTCTTTTGTGGGTGAAAGGAAGCGGCACCCAAGGGGCCGCCCCTCTGGGCGCAAACCAAAAGGCGGGCCCGGAGGCTCGCCTGAAGTTTGCTAAGAAAGGACTCACGAAAGAACGGGAATGGGGAGGGTGGGTTTTGATGCAGGTATGCCCCGGCCGCTCTCGCAGTGAGGCTCCGGGGAGGAGAAGCGTGGGAAGATATACATTGACACGGTGCTACGATACGTGCTCCCTCTCCCCAAGACGGCGCACCGAGCTTCGCTCGGTGCTCGCTTCTTGTTGTTTCGTGCGGTTCAAAGGATCCGGTTTCTTACCGTGGGCCTTTCCTCTTTTGTGGGTGAAAGGAAGCGGCACCCAAGGGGCCGCCCCTCTGGGCGCAAACCAAAGGCGGGCCCGGAGGCTCGCCCAAAACCGCCCCAGCCGACGGGTACCGAGGTTGAGCCCACAACGCCAGGCGGAATGCCTAAGAGAGAGTAAGAGAGCGTTTTGTGTTGCGAACACGTCGCATGTGTTGTGGTAGTATGTCCTCCACAGAGCGCCAATAGCGCAGGAACGTGTCCGACGACCACCTCCCCGCCTTCTTGACCACGTGCGGTGGAACCCCGGCGAGTAGTAATTCCGTCGTGCCTCCGATACGGAAGCAGTGCCCTGTCACTCTTGGGTGGCGAAGAGGGGTCCATATCGTGTTGCAACGCGCTAAGAAAAGCGACCTGGTGAGGAGTTTGGGTCCCCCGTGAGTTCGGAACGCGAAGAGGGCCGAGTTCGAGGGTAGGTCGCTCTTGTGAAGATGGTACGCCAGCGCATCGATCGGGTCCGTCGAGCCCCTCTGCCGGTGTAGAAACACGGTCTCCCCTTTCGCGTAGCGGGTTTTCGACGAGGGGAGGGCGATGGAGTAAGATGCCGAGGCCCTCGCGGGCTTGTGGAAATCTGAGCGTTTTGGGAGATGGTCTTGGAACGCGGACTGGGAGTTCGGGAGGAGCTCACCCGCGCGGAATTGACCCCAGAACATGCAGCACGCTGCTGCGAAGACTGCGGCGTCGAGGGGTGAGTCGAATCTGAGTTTCTTGTGTAGTTGGCGTAGCATGTCGCGTGTGATTGGTTTCCTCGGCGGCTTGTGCGAATCGCGAGGCCTCGAGTTCTCCACGCCTTTGAGGACTTGCTGGAGTCTCTCGCCCCCGAGCCAGGGGGCGTCGTGTGCGGTGTGCCAAGCTTTGAGGCCGGCCATCCAGCTCCTCGCCGTCCCGCCTGCCAGCCTCCCGACTGCTCTAGCGGCGAATGCGCAGAGCACCACCTCTGGCGCAGGGAACCTGTCTTCGCGCGGGATGTGTTCTAGCTTGCAGAACTGGAGATAGCGGTTCACCACGCTGCTGTAGCCCTTGAGCGTTCCCGGCGCCCAGCTCGCCCGAATTGCCCTGTTCAGCCGACCTACCGAACGTGCCGACAAGGAGAACTTGTTTGATGTCGGTGACACTTCGAAAGGCCGCCGGATTGCGTCTTTTGGCGCGCGCGGGCTAGAAGTCAAGCTGCCCCTGGGGGACTGCCGGCGCGGCGGATTCTGTGCTCTCTGAGCGACGTTGGAGGACTGGTGTTGCCGTCGGCGCGGTTGGATGAAAGCTGATGGTGACGAGTAGGTAAGGCCGCGGCTTGTCATTGCAACCGTCTTGTGGACGTCCCAGCGACTTAGCTGTACCCCGGCGCTTGCAAGTAGACGGTGCACGTGACATGTATTTCCGCACTGCAAGCCCGAATTGCTGGTTAAGTCGAGCGGCTACAGTTCTGGCTACTCTAATTGTTCGATCGCCTGCCTGAAAGTTTCTCGCAGACCCAGCTCCACCATTTTGCCAGTGGGTGAGTCTTCCGGCGAGGGAGTTCTGGGGGGGCTGTGTCCCGACTGAACCTGCTGCAGACACAGTCCCCAGATAACCGCTGTGGTTGAGTCCCTTCCGTCCAGTGATGGCACCCCCGGAGGTCCCCTCTCCTGGTATGTCCTTCGATTATGGTGTGTGTCTGATTCCACGACGTGTAGGCTGATCAAAGTTGTGTCACCCCAGGGGCACGCTTGGGCGGAACAATTCGCCCACCTCGGTACTGAGCTGCTTGACTCCCATCTTCGTAGGAGATCGAACGCTCGAACTCGACTTTAACAATCCTCTCTCTGTCAGAGACCGAGTCCCGTTGTGCGCACATCTCGTCGATGAAGCGCTGATCTTGACTGATGTTAGCAATGATGAATCTCCTGTTACCAACAGCGCGCACCGGATTTTGACATGGGGTTCAAGGCAGGGGGGAAGAAAGGAGTCTTGCAGCCTTCCGCTCGTTTTATATTAGTTAAATGTTAGCCGACGTCTAGCGTCGCTGCGCGTTGTAACGTAATCCGGTGTAACGTAAAGGAGTGTGGATGTTGGAAGGATGGAAGGTTTCCAGCTTCTGCTGCCCTTACATAACGGGCCGTGCGTGTGACCGAACAGCTCTCATTTTATTGCGAGCAGGCTACAGGGTATCAGGTCTAGTGATTAGGGGGGATACGCAGTATGGGATCTTAAACGTCGTTGAGCAACGCGGTAAGCCTTTAAGAGGAACGCCCCGGGAGGGCGGGTCCGCTCTGTTCTCGGCCGACGGGACGTACACTGGGGTGATCCAAATCGAGTGGACCCGCATGAGGGTCACAATGCGCTGGAGAACTCGATTGTGCTCCAGGTTCCGAGAGCGGCCGGCCTCTAAGGCCCCGATGACCCCTTGGTTGTCAGAGCGGACCTTCAGGTGTAAGCCGTTCAGCCCCTTCAGTACCGCCCACCTTAAACCGAACTCGATGGCGATCATTTCGGCCCAGCCGATGCTGCGTGCCTCTGACCGCCAGCCCTCGGTGAATTTCCACGCGTCCCACTCGCCGTCTAGGACCACTCCGACCCCCCACGATGTCGACGCGTCGACCCAAAAGTCGCGATCGATCATCTCCGGCGGGTGTTGCAATGGACTGCCGAATGGGCCCGAAGAGAGCGCCTCCTTCCAATACGCAATGTCTTTGAAAACGGCCGAGTTTGGTGCGCGTTTCGCAAACGGGGAACCCGTCGGTGAGAAAGACGTGACGAACTTCGAAATTGCGACCAGGTGCGAGCGTCCGTCAGGGATGGCTAGACTGCAGTGGACCAGCGTCCCCAAGACCTGCTCGGCCTCGCGTCGGGTGAACTTGGAGCCCGGGGCCCAGAATGCGATCTTGGCAAAGTAGCGTGTACGTTTGTCGAGCGGGATAGAGACCCATTTCACGTCCAGGTCCCACTCGAAGCCGAGATAGCGGAAGACGGCCGCGAAGTCCCGTGTCTTGGACCGCTTCCAAGGCCAGCCGAGGCGATCCGCGAGGGCGTAGAGGTCTTCTAGGTCGTATAAATAGGTTGCGGTGCCCGTTGGGGATCGATTTGCGGGGAGACGGAGAAAGGCGAAGTCATCTACCCACTTCTTGACGGCCGAGACTCCGTGCGCAGAATAGATCGCCGCCATGCAGTCGGCGACTCTGCCCCAGACGCCTGGAGAGCTTGCCGGTCCGAAAGGCGCGCACGAGTCGATCCAGAAGGTGTCGTTCCAGTGGACCACGAAATGTGGTTGCTGGTCCGGGCGAATCGGAATACACCTGAATGCGGAGTCGACATCCAGAGTAGCGACTTGGGCTCCCGGCGGCGCGTCCATAACGAGTAGAGCCATCTCGGAGAAGGTTCCCCATTCGCACGGGAAGGCGTCGGCGTCGATGCCGGCGTTGACGGACTGGTTGGACGGGTCGTCGCGAGGGAACGAAAAGTCTTGTATCATTCGCATTTCGTCCGAGCCGGCTTTCGGGACAGCGCCGAGCGGCGAGGTCCGGAACGGTCCGATTAAGGCCTCGAGTCTCCGTTTGTCGAAGGGGCCGGTGTACCGATTTGCTGCGCGCTCTTTCGAAATGTAGGCGTCAATCGCCTTCGCATTAGTGGTAGCCGACTTGTGATTAGGTGGTGTGTAGGTAGTATGTACGAGCGAGGGAACTCCCATGTCGAAACCCTCTCGAATGCCTAAAGGAATGTCCGCGAATCTATGTAACAAGTTGAGATCGAAGAGGGATTTCTCCCACTCACTTGCCCGGAACGGCGTTACCACGGGAAGCCTCCACGATGGTACAGTAGTGGGCGGAGTGGGTTGCGTCTCCGCAGAGGGAGCACAAATGTTCCCCCTGGGCGCACGTGCCAGAGGCGGAGCAGCCCCGTTGCATGTTGAAATGGAAACAGAATCGGCGTCCGGACGAGTCGCGGTATCCCCCGTCTGCCGACTTAGTGATGTAGACGGGGCTGCCGTTGACGAGAGACTTCGCATAGCACGCTTTCGTCCGGTGGTTGTCCCTGCCGCACAAGAAACAGATGCGAAAGGAGTGACTGGACTGCGAAGCGGGGTACGGGTTCGCGCGTCTGGACGCGGCGGATGAATGGGAGGCCTTGGCGCCGCCGGAGGTGGAGCTGGCGTCCCGTCTCCTGTGAGCTAAGTCTAGCTGGGCGTGTTGCGGCGTGATCTGCGCGACCTTCTGGCCCAGGTGCGCGATGTATAAGTCGTCCCAGATCGCCCTGTGGAACTCGCGAGGGTCTATGGGAGTGCGGAGGCGACGGCGTCTTATCTCGATGTCGTAACTCAGCCATACTGGCCAACGGCCGTCGCTGCTCGCTCCCGGGCGACACCTGATGAAATTGTGGTGAGTGAGCCAGTCTTCGTATTCGGAAGGGAGGTAGTCTTCGATAAGCTGGAGAAAGTGCTGCCACGCCTGTAGCCATTCGGCGAACGAAAGGTGTAGTTCCCCATCCGCGGAGAGCGACTGCTGGACGGGAACGAGGCTGCCGGCCTCCACTCGCCACAGGTTCGTCAAATTCGCCGTGGTGTCGATGCCCTGAGCCGCGCATGCCGCGTCGGTGAGGTGATGGAGAGGGACATGCTTCCGGTACCCCTTCTCGAAGATCTCCACGATTTGCGGCGGGATCACATAATAGTTGAGGTCTGCTAACACCCCGGGCTCGCGCGCAGGGCGCCCTTTCAACGGTGCTTGAATCGCGAGGCTCGGATACGGTGAGGGTCTTGCCCGCCTGCCGTTGTGGGTTCTCGGGGAACGAGACGCGCAAGAAACGGGTTCCGACTCGTTGAACTCTGAGGGAGGGGACGGAGTGCGGCGGCGCGCGCTGAGACTAGCCGAAGGTGTTCGACGGGGTTCTGACGAACGTCCCGTGCCACTGGCGCTGCCCCGACCTGACGAGCAATGAGCTAACCGCCCGTACAGCAAGAACTTCCGGTAGGATAGGAAGACGGGGGGGGGGGCGTGTATCCCCTCTTGGGGTTGCGAGAAGGGCGGGCCCTCCCGTAGCACAAGCAATGCGGTTCGAGCCTTTGGCTTCCCCCGTAGCAAGAAAGGCGGGGCTGGAGAACCAGCCCCCCCCAGCACTGGCCCTCCCTGCACTATGGTGTGCACAGGAGAGGCCTCGCAACAGCATGGACGGCTCTTCGCCATAGTGAGATGACTCACCTGAGGATGCTGGAGGGCGTCGAGGCGCCGCGCTCCGGGGTGGTCCTGGGTGCTGTGTCGGGATCCTTCCGGTCGGCCTTGGCACCGGCGAAGGGGATGGAGATGTGTGGCCAGACGACCGAGACGACGAAGAGTCTGAACCTGGCCGTGATTCGGCGTCTCTGGGCGCCTCCTCTATGCCCTGCCACGGGTCTTCATCTTCCTCCTCATGGCCTCGCTCTTGCTCGTAGTCGGTCTTCTCCCTCGCGGTGTACAAGTTGGTGAAGACGGGGTGGTCGATGAGTTGATCGATGCGGGACTGAAGGGCCTGTTTCGTGCGGGCCTTCAGCTCGGTGACGGTCCCTTGTCCGTCCAAGCCCAAGGCGTGGGCTAGCTCCACGAGTTCCTTCCGATTGAGCCGATAATGGGGCCTATCGAAAACTTCGTCGTTGGGGACCCAGGGAGGCATGTTATAAAGCGAGTGTGGTGTTTCGGCGATATGTACTAGGATGCAGGTATGCCCCGGCCGCTCTCGCAGTGAGGCTCCGGGGAGGAGAAGCGTGGGAAGATATACATTGACGCGGTGCTACGATACGTGCTCCCTCTCCCCAAGACGGCGCACCGAGCTTCGCTCGGTGCTCGCTAGCAAGTTCAAGACGTCGTTTGCGGTAGCCCCTAGCAGAGTAAGGAAAGTTGATGACGATAACCGAGTAGATAGAGATCATACCTTCGTAATTTGAATGATCATGTTTCCGAGCCTCATTGGCACAGCTCCTTGCATGCTTATCTGTTCTGATGGGTCTTAAGAAAAACAACAGATCAAGAACGAGGGTCCTGTGGACCGATGCCTCATACCAGAAGATTGTGTTTTGGTGCCGGACAACGCGACCATTCTGAAGTCTTATCTGAGATCTAACGAGATCGGATCTTAGACATGTCTCAGATACGATGTGCGGACAGTAGAATGTGCATTCAATACACCCTATGCGTACCTTACAATAGTACTGTAACCTCATTCCTCGTCACGATACAATTACGGATCGCTTAGAGTTTTAACCTTGGTGGTAACAAAGTACGCTTGACATCGAATTTGAGCAAGTCTGCATGGCGACGACATCAACAGCGAACTTGGGAGGACTTGTAACAGACTGACCACTACTTCAGTGGAGAAGGTTAGCTCGTTGGTTTGAATCGGATCTCCCGAGTTCAAGGTGATCGCTACTTGCAATGCCACTATCGAGGTCGCCTGCAGTTGGATTTTCGATGCCAACTAAGGCTTTCACCATGATATCTACCCAACGATAATTGGAGAGTTTGACAATTTCATCGTGCACTGATGCGATATTGGACGCATGCTGCAAGCCTAGTAAGCATACATGTACGGTGAATAGCAACACTGTTGAAGATACCAGCTTCATTTCTGCACCACAACGCTTGAAGATCCGATCATGATTGTATGCTGCGTACAATTTTATTGACCACATTCTGATCTCCGACAGATTTGCGAGTATCACCCCTCATGATACATCAATATAAGTGTTGAGTAGATTGGTTCCGTAGAATACCTGTCTATGGACGATCCGCAATGGTCGTTCATGCCGTCTCAAAACATATCCTGTGATCTGGTATTATATAGAACACTTCCGAGGTACTTTCACCACACCGGCTGGTCGTAACTAGATCTACACACGACTAATCCGAAGCGAAAAATTGCGGCCATTCAACACATATACCGACTCACCGGTCTGTTTAGTCGCTACCTCAACCGTACGCTATCTCAACCGTACGTCCCACTGATCCCAAATATTCTAAGATGAAAGGCTACAGGAGCCGATTTTGATGCACGGAATACAGGCTCTGGAACTCAGAATACAATATATCGAGCAAGACCGACTCTCACACCGACTTCGACTGCGCCACCTCGACACTCTTGACACCGCTATGTATGGTAAAAAACTCGTGCAGAACTCGCACCGGGTTAGGCTCTTCCTCCTTGAACTCGAGTTCGCCGTATGGACCCCTGCTCCAAATCATATCGAGTGTAAGAGGAATGATGCGAAAATTGTTGCCGACCCAAGGAATCAGTTTCTCGTTTGGGTCTGCCCATCGTCCACTCCATCGATAGTACATCTCGGCAAAGTCAGACTTCAAATCCTACAGGACAGTGAGCATCTCCCGATGCGCATTTACTCAGAGGAACGTACCTTTTCTGACTTCTTGTCGTATTCGTCGGTGTATAGAAATGCCAATCCCATCACGTGCTGGAGATACATGTGGCCATTTACACCGCATGTTCGACGCAAACGATGAAAATTAGACATATGGTAGCTGAAAACACTATCCTGGTCGATTTCCTCAAGATTCCTGACCTCCGCGGCGAGCGACAAGAGCTGTCTAGCCTGAAGAACAGCGTTCAGTAATGTTATCATTGACTCAATGCCGGTCCTTGTACCTCATCCTCCCGATTCAGCCAAGAGCGGAACCACGGGCTGCCATCCGTGCATCCCCAAAGCGCGTTTGGGCTGCTCGGCTCTGCCTCCGGGATGCGCCATGGGAAGATTGTCTCGCCATGAATGAAGATGTGGTTCGGGATGATGACGCCAGATCCAGGGGTGCTCTCATCGACCTTGTCAGGTACAAATCGTTCGTAAGCTTGGATAAATTCACGAGCAGTGGCCTGAACCGAAATATTAATATGCTTTCACGCAGAAACGAGCGGACTCACAGACGAGTCATCATTTTCATTGAACATCAACTGTCCAAGGACAAAGACCCACTTCAGGTACGCAATAGGTGTCGGACCAAACATCGTTCTGCAATAATGATATATGCAAAGGTGCTGGATCACCAAGGGGCTGTAATCCCACAGGTTACGCTTGCCGTCCCCCTGGGCCAGCATACCCGCAAAGACTCGCGTCTTGTGCTCGTCAGCGGGTTTTGTACACGAAACACGGTGATATCCTCACCATGACATGTTTATCATTGAAGATCGCCTGATCACTGATTTTTACAGTGTTTGCCTTGTACGCTGTGCCGGACATGTTGCTGCGCGGTAGTGAGGGGGAGGGACGTAGTGGTGACGCAGGCATGGTGAAGTTGTACTACAAAAATTTGCAGGCTGAATGAGGATGCAAGCGGCATGTTCTCCAAAGTCCGATTCAAGCACGCGAAGATCCCCCTTAATGACCAAACACCGACCGAACCCTGTTGCCACACGAGGTAGATCTGCCTCTCTGGGATACCTACCTACCCAGGAGGGATGTTTGCAGTTACAACAATCACGGCTACACCCAAACTTGTACGCATTCCCGCTCTCGAGTAATCACCATATGCCGGTACGTATACCTACCGATCGCATTCCTCCCGTTCCCCGTTTGACAACGTACGCGATGTCAGTTGGTGGAATCGCCCCAATTTTGCGCAAGAAGAGACAGCGTCCCATCGGACTGAAGCCCGAACGCCGCCGCCATCGTTCCGTCGTCTTACGACACTGCTGGTGTCAGGGACGGCGTGTCATCTCCCCAAGTACACCCCACGCTGTGTCGCGTTGAATCGACTCTCTTGTCACTGGTCTAGTTTCCTCGCAATCACCATGCCAAGTACGCGCTCTGGTAAACGGGTATGCCTTTCTTTTGCACGACGTCGCACATTGAGCTGATGAGGTTGCAAAGACAGGCGGAGATTTGCCCTCGTCAAATGCGAAGAGGAAAAAGGTAAGGCCAGTGTTTGTCTCCGCATGTCTTGCTCATATTCGCCATAGAAGGGCGATCCTGGTCCTGAGATCCTTCCACCGCAGTTGCAAGCTCCCGCAGTAGGAACTGTGAGTGATCCGTCCAACGATGTTTGCTGCAAAGGTCCTCAGCACGTCTGTGGAATAGTCTCTTCGCCCCCGCCCCCGCAGGAAAAAGACTGCACCGTCCGTCGATGAGGAATCTCGACCGCCCAAGGTCAGTCACCTCGCATGTTCTATCAGTTGATCTGTGCTAATTTTCCTTGGTCGATGACTTGCAGACGAAAAAGGCCGCCATCAAAACGAGAACGGTTGCACAAACAAATGATGATACTGCAGTGAGTGCAATCCCTCTAGTAGTTGTTGTGTGACAATTATTGAGCATGACATCCATGTAAGACCACCCCCACCGCCCAAGAAACGGAGGACGGTCACGCAGGCAAGGACATTAGCCCAGCCGTCGGTCAAATTCAACTGGCTGCTGAGACGAAGCTACCACCCGAAGCCACCGGATCGCCAAGCTCCGCCGCCCTTTCCTCGTTGCATAGCGACACAGGTGGTTCAGCTCCAGCAATTGATTCGGTATTCCCGTCGTCGGCAACAGTAATCGATGGTTTTGTCTTTGGCACGGGCTCCGTGTCACCTGGCTCTATCGGACTCACTGGCAATGTGCGGACCCTTCCAATCGTGTCATCTGTCCATGTTCCGCCAGGGACTTCATCAGCAATTGCGCCCTCAACCTCCATCGGTCCTGATCCCGCCAACGCACCATTGTTTCCGTTACACCAGCACGAATACTCGCTCACGACTCCACGTCATGGTACAACCGCATCCAACAATGTGCTCACGGGTCTTTCTTCGATTCCCTCCATGGCATCATCACCTTCAGCACCCTTGCATCCGGGACCGCCGTCCTCTGTGTCTACGCCGCTGGTTAGATTCGTAGAAGCACTCAGCTCCGCAGAGGCTGCCCTTGGTACTCTGACCCCTACGGCGCACCCGGGTAACCAACGCTTTCCAAATCAGGTACGTATTAGTTGCACCGGCTCTATAGACATATCTTAATTGGGTCTCGTTCAGTTCGCCTTTGATCCTGACGGAGTCAGTCCCAAGGGCACAGGGGATACAAGTTCGATCGGTTTCCCACCGCTTGCCCCTTGGAAGTCCGTGTACATGTCTCCTTCGTCTTCCCAATCGCCGGTTACAGGTCAGCTCCTATAACTATACGTTAATTACATATACTGAATCGTCTGGGGTTGTGCTTTGCGTCGACAGCGGCTAGTGCGAGCGTGCCTGCGCCTCGGAGTGAAGGATCTATAACTGAGGACAGACCGGTCGAGGACGGACCAGTAGAGGTCAGACCTGTCGAGGACGGACCTGTCGAGCTCGAGGACGAACCTGTCGCCTTCTCCGATGCACCGTCTGTGACCAGCATTGTTAGCATGTCTTCGCAGACGAGCGGAATCAATGCCAACCAGGTACGTACGCGCATCCGGTCATGTTGGCATAGTCATTGATGAATGTGGTTCAGGCTTCTGCCCCCTCGGATTTCAGCATGCCGAATGCGCCACCCCAGCACACGTCTCACCATAATTCAGACACAACCCATGACAACCATGGCGGGTTGGACCGCCCCAATCCTGACCACGGTCCCGCTCGGACGTCCCTTGACACCTCCGCCGACGCAAATGTCGAGGACGACGATGACGATGATGACTGGGAGGACATTGCTGATCCTACCGCCGACACTGACGGTGCAAAAATCAGCGCAAACAAGGGCAAGGTTCCACCGGCCGCCTCCAGGGGGAGTTCTCGTCCGGGGCAGATGAAGGCAGGATCACAAGCAAAACTCAAGGCTTTTATCAAATATGCGGATCGGTTCAAGCTGGCGCTTGCGAAGGAGACGGGAAAATCACTGGATACCATTGCGAAGTTGATAGGACGGCCGCCCCTTATATCATCTAAGGCAGAGAACCGGTGGCAAGTCTGGCAATCGTGGTATGCAGAACACTATCCGCAGGTCAAGGCAAAAGAGGGGGATTCTGTGGAAGGTGTGTATTCTTGCTGCATTTGTAGTTCATTTACTCAATCGCGTTTACTGCTAGTGGAGGACTCGGATGCATTCGCCTGCCGTAAGCTCAAGGCATATCATGCTCGGCTCGCCGGCCTCAACACGCCCCAGGAGAAGAAGGACACCTTGAAGGACTGCTACGACTGGTGGTACACGAAGCGCCAGGAGTTCCTGGGTTCGCTTATCCAATCGGGCAAGAGCAGCAAACTGGTTACGCTTGCTGCCCGACAGATCACGTCTATGGTACGCTGTCCTTCTAATGTTAGATGCCTCACCTCATCCTCGTCGTTTCTTAGTCAGAACATTGGCATGCACAAACCGGTATCCATGTCTTTGGAATCATCATAGACACTCAAGGCGACAATTACATCATGGCTGGCGGTTCTCCTCATTGGCTTCGTATGAAAGATGACTTCCCGAAGAACCTTCACAAGTATATGATGGAATGCCGCTCCATTGTCACGTACGTCTAACGTCTTATTCTGGTGGTCGCAGAACACCGGTTGATGAGCAAGCAGGTTGCTGGACCAAAACGAAGACGGCACTCCGATTGTCACCGACGAGCAATTGAAGGGTCTCATACCGTGTGGGAAGTTAGACGCTTCCTATGAGGCCCAAGCCGCTGCAACGTTCGCCAATACCTTCCGCACCGGGAACCCAAAGCACAAGCGAGACTCGAGCGACAAAGTAGTGAGGCACATCGTATTGGGACTGTGTGGTGAGCGACTGCAGCACATCGTATCGCAAGTTTACAATAGCTCATTCTTCCTTTTAGCTAAACTTCAAGTCGACTCGTCGAGATTTAAATGGGGCACCTTCACGGAGCATCTCGTCTCCAATGAGATGACCATGTACAACTGGTGCCCAACTGCGAGGATCACTGAACTGCTACCTGCCAAGGGGCAAACAAGAAACTCAGTTTCTTTCGACTTTCGGGGCAATGCGGACTCCGTCCATCTTATGGCGACCCTGCAGGGTACCTCTAGGGCCTTGGCCCTCGAAAAATGGTCTGAAGGCAAGTTCTTTTGATCGCTAGATAACATTCAATTGTCTTCATAATGTTCATAGATGATCGAAAGAAGCCATGGCGTGATCGCGGGGGTATACCCATCCTCCTCGCTTGGGTTCCCGACTCGGGCTGGACCGGGAAAGAAGACATCATAGACACACCGTACGGGAAACAGATTGTCCTGTATCGAGTGCAGAGTACGCAGACTTTCTACGACATGGTCGTAGACAATAGTTCCCTCGCGAATACCGAAGGTGGCGTCAAACCCAACCAACCGCAACCAAAGAAACGACAGCGTTCTGTGCAGCCTGCACCCGCTGTTCCGCCATCCCAACCCCCTCCTATCATCGCGGCTCCGCGGTCGAAGAAACGTCAACGCTCGGTGCAGCCTGCACCGTCCGTCCCGTTGTCTCAACCTTCGCCCGTTGTCAACCCGCATCCACAGAAACGTCAACGTACTGTGCAACATGCGCCAACCATCTCACCATCTCAGTCCCCGCCCATTGCCGATGCCCGACACTTGGCACCGTCTTCTGCGTCACAGCCAAAGCCCGTGCGACAGGGGCATGTACTAGGAACGATACCGACCAAACACCAGCACAAGAACCCGCTCCTCCAAGGGCGAAAGAAGGCTCGCATGCAGTACATCGAGGTAGATACCGACGACGTAACTCAACAAGATCCTCAACCCGTCGTCTCCAATGCGATGCAAGAACCCACAATCATACCAGAATGGGTACGTTGGCCCCTTTGTTTATAACATCACTAAGCTAACCACTGCACTTTCACAGCCAAACCACGACCCAGCCGGGAATAGCGGTGAAGACGATCTTCTGGGTGGCTACAACATGGCCGCAAGTGATCATTATCGCCAGCTAGTATGTTCTTAGGGATGGTCCCTGAACTGGCACACGTAGCTTACCCGTCGTCATATAGAACTTGCTGCCACCGGTTGAGCCCCTAACCGACCCCGACTCTGACCCCGAAAATGAGAATGGGATACTAGGATCAACTTCGTCTCAGGTGCGTTCAAAATGTTGCATCTCCTGATGACGTCTCACAGTCGATCTAGTATGAGGACGCGGCTCAGCCCTTGATTGCTGATGCAAACTATGCTCTGGATGCATCGAATATCAGTCAGGCTTACGCTATGTATTGGCCCATGGCCTCAGAACATCAACATCCACCACTGGACTTGACCGGGACCTACGCCTCTTCTGAGCACACCAATCCCGTCGCAACAAGATCTTTGCCCGTAATTGCTGAGGTCATAGGTGAGTTGCTATCAAATCATGGTAATGCTTCTCCTAACGCTTGACAGATGCTGCCGCAGGTCATAACACTACGCGGGCTGGTTCAGCACCTCAATCCGATGATTTCGGCGGTCTCAGTGGTGTTGGCGGCGTCTCTCAATATGCCGCTCAGCCAATGTCTCAAACAATCGGAGACAAGTCTCTTGACCCGCCGCAACAGCAGCGATTGCGTACACATCGACCTTGGCTCCAGCCGAATATTCCTCCGGCTTATAGTACCGGGCACGCCACTCAGGACAACCGCGTCATGCCGCACCATGCACCCCAATCCCTCCATCCTGAACACCCCGGCAAGTACCCACCGAGCAACATACGTCCCATGGGGCCTCGGGAACCCAGTCAGCAACGGTTGGCCGCCGAGCAGGTCGCTGCGCCGCCGCCTGATCACAGGATTGGTCCCTTGTTGTCTCAGGGGTCTCAATCATCGCAGCCGACTCGATGGCATGCGCACATGATGCAGACCCATACTGCACCAGTCTCTCGCCCATTGCCTGTGCCATTAGCCGCCAGCCACACAAGCTCGCAGTTCCATCAAGGCTACCTTCATTCACCAGCTTTGTACCCTTCGCATCCCACGCCCCGTCCTGCAAATATGCCGGCAGCTCAGTTACCGTGCCCTGAAACAGTGGCTGCCGCTCTTCCAAGAGTTCCGCCCGTGTACGGCTTAATAACTGCTCGCTCGTATGCCGGGGACCCTCTACCACCGTGCGATCAACAGCTTCCTGTGTGCACCGGACCTGCATATGCTACAGCAAATGCACCGCCTGCCACCGAACTCTGCAACCCGCAGGCCGGTGAGCCAATGTTCAACGGCTGGCGAATGTCTCCTCAAGAAGGCTCTCTGCCTGGTACGTCACAGCAAGAGGGGCCAGCTGCGCCCAAGATCCCTCGTCCGCGGCCGATAAAACGGCAAAGGGTTGACCAAAAGACTTCGGAACGGGACGGTGATCTATCCCAAACCGACGGTATGCAATACACGACTTACATGCACCAATAAGATAGAAAACGATTGTGTCAGTATTGCATTACATAGATTGGTTAATACAAGTATTGAGTCATCATTGACCTCGTCGTGTTGGATACGAGATAGCAATTCGTTCTGTTATACGTCTTATTGCATACTCAGCCCAGTACATGGCACGACCTCACCTTAGCACATGCAATGCGCCGGACTCTTCCTGGTATACGTGGGGACGTGTCACGGCGCACACCGCTGTGCAGGGTCCGTAGGACGTTAGGGTACGCCCCCACATGCACCGGACTCTTCCTGATATACGTGGGGACGTGCCACGGCGCACACCGCTGTGCAGGGTCCGTAGGACGTTAGGGTACGCCCCCACATGCA